GCAGGGGTTCGAAGCAGGCTGTGATGCACCCAGGGTCATTGCTTCCCAGACATGCTGGGCCAAGTGAAACTGGACAGCATAACACACCAAGTACTTGCTTCAGGGTGCAGTATTAAAGAGGAAAAGATACTAATCCTACTTTCACATAACATTTTTCTTTTACTATTTACACTTTCCTCATTCAGTTTTCAACAACATTTAACATTTGATTCTGTTCCTATGGATGCACCCAGGGTCATTGCTTCCCAGACATGCTGGGCCAAGTGAAACTGGACAGCATAACACACCAAGTACTTGCTTCAGGGTGCAGTATTAAAGAGGAAAAGATACTAATCCTACTTTCACATAACATTTTTCTTTTACTATTTACACTTTCCTCATTCAGTTTTCAACAACATTTAACATTTGATTCTGTTCCTATGTAAGGTATTAATGGCTATTCCAAGATTTATTGCAAACAAAGAAAGAAATTATTACTGGAAATCTGAGCTAGGACATAGTGCAAGTTAGTGAAAGTATGACAATCTAATGCTTTACAGCCAAACAGCACAACAGGGTAAATACGATACATGGAAAATCCAATCTGCTCTGTGTTTTACTCACCGTTTGATGACTTCGGTCACAGTAGCGCAGTCCAAAGTAATCTATTTCCACTAGGTTTAAGTGACGAAATACGTAGCCCAGGACAACGGACCCTTTGGTTGACTTCTGTGGGAAAGAATTTACAGAGGCTATTCACAAAGATGCTCTGCCTTTGTCAGCTATGTGCAGTGGCATTCACGCATTCAATTAGCTTTGTCTACAAAAAACAGGAGGCAGTTCCTAGTGCCTTTAACAAAAATGTGAGCAGTACGTGCAAAAATATTTTGCCTCATAAATGTTTTAAACAATACTTACAAAATTTTAAAAAATGGCAAAACAAAAAAACCCACAGCAAACCACAAACAAACAAACAAAGGAACAAACAAACAAACAAAAAAAACAAAAAAAAAACCTGCTTAAGTGTACTTGCATAAGCACAATGCTGGTGAACCTAATATTTTTCTAAAAACATTTTGTTCTCCGATCAAAATTTTAATTACCATGACATATTATAATTCTAAAAATCACACCCTTCCAGTACAGACCTGTCACTCAAACTCCAACAATGGAGATCAGGAGGTAAAACTGCACTTAAAATCTAAAGTATACATCATTAGATGCTCTGTTACTACTTTTTATAAAGGAGGTTAGATTTTATTTCTTTTCTTTTAAAATATTTTTGATAGTCGAAGGGGAAGCAATCCAACACCCTGAACTGAAATAATGCCACTGTTTTCTTGACTAGTGCTTCATTAAGTGTCTACAGCACTATTTGCAAACAATGCTGGGGACAATATTGCTAACAACATTGTACTGTCGAGAATGCATTATAAAAAGCTCACTTCCACCTGAATGCCTCATATTTGTCGGTTCGCCTGGCAGCCAACAACAAACAGAGTAGAAAGATGGAGAATAATTGCACAGAATGATCCTCCTCAGAATCAATTAGAACCTTTGACTATTACAGTCTTAAATTCCACAAGAAAATACGGACATCACTCACAATTAGGCTTTGCTTAACTGTTTCATATTTTATTAAATACTAGATTGCAGTAAAATCACTGGAGAGAAAAGAAACAGAAAGAGGAAGCTGTGGGATATTGTTGGTGATATTTCACATTTTAGCCTATGAATAATTTCAAAATTAAAAAGGCAAATAGCATTGATTTTTAAAAAATCGTTTAATATAGCTTTTCAGGTGAAGTATCAATCACATAAAAATAGTAAAGATCCATTTTTTTTTTTTTTACCAGGTGCTTTTGGTCAGGATTTGTATCTAGTCACAAGGGCATGGCCAAAAGAACAATTTCAGGTGGCCAGTCACACTCTAAGCAAGTCAAGACAAGGCAAACATATCTGGCAGGCTGGGAATTGCCTATCCATGGCATTCACCAGATTTACTACATGTTTGCTTAAACCAGGAGAAGCTCTTGAAAGGTTCTCTGTGCATAACAGTCTGGTTATTTACAGTAAGCAACTGAAATTACCTATTCCCTCAGTGTATACAGTAAGCTTTAATGATCAGCCATGAAACAGACAGTGATTTAGGGAAAACATAAGCAAAAATTCGCTAAATCTCATTTTAGCAAGTTGGATAAAGTAGACCAATATAATGATTTTTTTCATCAGATTTTTTAACAAGAAACTGAACCTGGGTTGTCAGAACAAAGCAAAACAAGAATCAGCTATAGACTGACTATAAGAAGCACTACATCAAAAAGACAGAAAACCCAAAACATACCTTAAAAATACACAAAAAATACAGGTTAAATTATTAGGCAATGGGGATTTAAGACTGAAGCAGCAATTCATGGAATCAAAGAATCATAAAATTTAGGGGTTGGAAT